TTTCGCAGCAATGTTGATGGCGCAACGTGTAGATGCACAAGATCCATGTAAATTCCGATATCCTTTGAAAGGACATTGCACTGAGCCATACTGCATGGACAGTTGTGCGAAACGAAAGGAGGGTGCAAGTGGATCATGCGTACCACTTAGAGAGGATACCTTCTATTGCCTTTGTACTTTTACCTGTCGATAAGGGGTTCTTAGGAGTTTGAATGAGAATATGGAAATAAGTCAAGGGTTTTCTAAATGTAATAAGAAAATCTATTTTACGGTTTGAATTATATCAAATTATTAAATAAAAATTATTAAATAAAAAAAAAAGTTTCAATATCAAAGCATCCATTCTCATTTAATAATTAGTGTAGTATAGTTTAATAGAATTTAGATTGCACTACCCATTTTTTATGTAGTAAATATATTTTCTAAATGAGAATATTCTTTTTCAATTGTTTGTCCTCTATGTGTTCCTTTATTTCCATTTGGGAAATTTGTCTATAGTATGTCCACTAGATTTTTTTTAATTATTTAGTAAATATTCAATTTTAAAATTTATATAAGTGAAAATGCTTTAATAAAATTCATTATAAGTGTGTTAAGAATTTCTAAAATACCTATAATACCCTTAACAGTTAAAATATCAAATATTTATCATTTGATATTAATTAAATAAATTACTATAAAATTAAAAAATGACAATCAAAACTCAATCTGTCCATTTTTCTCACTACATTGTTCATTATTAAAGATGAACATATTTTATTTAGTTCTAAATTACTTGACTTTTAAAATTACTTTTTTGGTTTGGTTAATGAAATTAAAAACTTAGTTAACTAAAATGTTTCACTTTAGTTACTGATTAAAGTTCAAAATATTTTTTAAAAATATTAAAAGAATTTGGTTAATTGCATGAACCATATTAATAAAAAAAATAAAAATTTTGGTAATTAAAACTGAATTTTTGAATTATGTTCAAGCTTTCATTATCAACCTTAAAGCCTCTGCAACTAGAAGGAACAGCAATAGTGCCAATGGATCGCCTTGCTGTAGACCCTTCTTCATCTTGAACCCTTCAGTAGGATTGTCATTCACTAGAATATAACAGTGGCTGATTGTACACATTCTCCAATTAATCCACCTTCTCCGTTTTAAATGAAAACCAAACATCCTCAACATATGTTCCAAGAACTCCTAATTGACACTATCCCATGGGAGATTTGCCTACCCTCGATGAATGTTGATTGATTTAGGCTAAGGAGGGAATTCCTCACCTTATTAAGTCTATTGGCAAGGATTTTTTATAAAATTTTGTACATGCACCCAATAAGTGAGATGGGTCTATAATCACTCAAACTTTGTGTATTATTCTTTTTGGGAATCAACACAATAAGAGATGCATTTTTGCCTTTAGGTAGTTTCTCATTCTTGTGTAAGTCAGCCAATAACTCTATAATGTTCTCTTTCAAAATTATGTAATGTATTACATTAGAAAATATACCAATCAATGTTCCAAAAGAAAATTTATGTGCATTTTGACATGTGTTTTTTGTCCTCGTTTTTTGTTCAGGAGTGAATACATCCCTACTACTATATTTTAGGAATAGATTTGGATATTTTGTTTTTTATATTCTATCTTGCATTTTTTTTCAATTAATTGTTAAGTGAACTTTTAAACACTTTTGAACTTTTCAACACCAAAAAAATTATCAATCTTGACAATTTTTCCATTCTTGACGTATAAAATTTTAGCCTAACTATCATTTTCCTATCCTACTAAGTCCAAAATCTTTAACTTTTAAATGAGATATTAAGAGCGT